TGAAATAAGGCAGTACAAAAGAGTATTTTTCAATGCAGGTAAGAAGTTTGGTCTTAGACATGGCTCATTCTGACGTGACGGTAAAACATCCCAGTAAAGAAGCCCAACAAAGAATAGAAAATAAGACAGTGAAGTTTAGGAGAAACAGGACAAAAGACATATGGCAGTCATATAGGCAAAAATGACCTTTTTTTGGCAGTTTTACAACTGTATTTGACAATCAGTAGTTAGTTCTCAACCACATTAACTATTTGTAGATTATTGAAAGTGGCATCAGGTACATAGGTAACCAACGTATAGAGCGTGTTTGGTGAATCTTCATCCTCATGACATTTTCTAGACAACTGCACCTGGGTATGGTAAGACACTTCCTTATTCCTGTGGCCCAAACAGCTTAGTTGGGCCTGATGTCAATGTGTACATCTAAAGTTCCCATCTCCTTCACAGCAAATTTCTGGATCTCTTTAAGTGCCAGAAGAGCATGCTTCTTGAAACCCACTCCATGGATGCCCTTGTTGAACGTGTATTCTCTGGTCCCTACCTCGTTAATGGCAGAACAGCCCTTCTTCTCAGCATCCTTCTTTGCAAGAGCCATTCTGCCAAGCTTAGGTTGGAAATGAAGCTCAGAGTGTTCCCCAGAGGATTTAGGTCAGCCCTTCCAAAAAACATTCATAACGGGTGACCGGACGGACTCAGATAGTATGAGAGGCCAAATGGTACCATGGAAAACGTGGATTTGGGAATTAGACAAGGCCTGAGCTTAGACCACAATTGTTTATGAGTTATGTGACCTTGAGCAAGTAATTTAACATCTCCCAGGTTGAGTCTACCCAGCTATGAAATAGGAATACCTTCACTCTAAAGATTAAAAAGGGTAATTCCTAAAAGGCACTTGACACAATACCTGGTAAAATTGGAATAAATGCTAGGAAAATGGTGGCAGCTGTTGCTGTAACTATTACTACTGGTACTACGTATGCCGGGCACAAAACGGATGCTCTGTAAATGCTTACGTCTTCCTTTTTCTTCTGTAGAAGGCAACTCAACATCATGGGTAACTATAAAGCCCCAATTCAATAAGTTACTCTATTCTATTCTCCCAAAGTTTTGTATAGCAGAAACTTAAAAGAACTAAATACATATTAATTTCATAAAGGGCTTAATATCTCCATTCTCTAACTTGATGGGATATATTTAACCTCCAAAGAAAATTTTCAATGGCGATATGACAAGTTGAAAAAAAGATCAATGAATTATGAAGGTTCATATAAAAACGAATGAAAGTGTTTGTGCTTTAGAAATCATCCACCGAAGACTCGATTGTTATTTTTATGACAATGGCACCATTAACTCCGTCCTCTGCAATTAATCATTTTTGTAGTTATCTGTCATTTGGGGAAAAGACACGTGATTTTCTAACTACAACCACACAAAAATCCCAATTGTATAAAACACCCTCAGAGTTATCCTGAAAATTAAGTGGCACAGTGTGTATGAAAATGCCTGACAGGTCCTGGCATAGAGAGAGCATGCACTCAGTGATAACCCCTGTGAAATCTAATCCTCTATTATCCTATGTTCCTTGTAATTAATAATAGAGACCTTATAACAGCAATTATAACACAGGATTTATGGAACTAAAGTGCAATAAAAAGCACACTGACTTGATGCCAGTCCAAGCCAGAAAGGCGTTCATTTTAAAGTCTCTCTGTTTAATAACAAGGTTGGTGTCATATACACTACTATAATCAAAATCAGCACTTCACTCTTCCCCTTTAAAAAAAATCCTTCAACTACAATTTTTTATTATTTTTTAATCCTCACCCAAGGACATTTTTTCTTTGCTTTTAGAAAGAGAGGAAGGGAGAGAGAACATCAGTGCAAGAGAAAACATCAGTGCGAGAGAGTAAGCATCAACTGGTTGCCTGCCATACACGTCTGCTCCAGGGATTGCAGGTATCCAAACTGAGGATCAAACAGGCAACCCAGATTATGTGCCCTGACCGGGTATTGAACCCACAACCTTTCTGTTACAGGATGACACTCCAACCAACTGAGCCACACTGGCCAGGGCTAAAATTTTCATTCAAGTTTTTTTAAAAAGTCAGAGACATAAGTTCCTCTTCCTTTCATTTTTTAAAACGCAAATTCCAGAAGCCTACAAAATATAATGGAATTATCAGGACTACAGTCAAAGGAAAGGACAGGGATACAGCTCAAAGCAGCTCAAACAGTACCCTCAAAAACCAGGGGACCTCCTTCACTCAAATGTGACACCATCCGAGACAGCCACTGTCAGGGCTGCCTGTTCCCATACCTAGTGATTCTTCTCCAACCCTCCTAATCGGCTGTGTGAACACTCAGACCTGCTCCCGCTCCCGGGCAGTCTCCTTCATATACAGCTAACACCAGTGCTGACACCTGTCCTGCCAGGTGGATACCCTGAAGGCACCGCAATCTCAGTGTGTGCAAAATTACACATCTCAGATCCGTTCCTTCTGTGTCCCTGTGTGTCTTATTGATATCACTGTCTTCTCAACTGCCCAAGATAGAATCTAGTTTTCTTTCCCTCACCATCCCCCTTCTCTCTTCCCAAAAACAAATCAGTCTCAAAAACAGATGTGTCACTTACCTCTACAATACCACTTAGGACCTACCCCATATCCCATCTCAAGTTCCAGTTACTGCTGTCCTGACCCACACCAACAGTTCCCACCTAGCTGCCCACCATCTCTCATGCTGTAAGTGAATTCCCCCACTCTGAATATTCCAGACAGACTGATCTTGCTATGCTTGTCCCTCCTCACACTGAGTCTATGAGACCTCCACAGGCTCATGGTAAGTCCCTCACTACCTCCCATGGCATGCCAGATTTTTAGAACCTGGAAGAACTTTCCTCTGACCCAACCATCTATTCACTTGATCTTGGAAGCTCCTCAAATTCAAAACGCTCTGGCCTAACCCTCAAGGCCATTCCTACTCTGGCTCCAATGGAAAAAGCCTGTAATGTCACTCAAACAAGAGGAACTATGCCAATCCACTGCTCACAAGCTAAAAGTTAAAAATTTCAACCCATCCAACAGGGATCCATGTGCCTTGGCCCCTGCCTGTCACTCCGGTCTTGCCATGCTCCCCTTTGCTCTCTCTGCCTCAGCCACCTGGCCTTCTACCCAGTCTGCTACATTTCTGCTCATCCCCAAGCCCCTTAGCATCCACCCCTCAGATCACAACTAAAAAGTCCCTTATTCAGTCACCAACCTTACCACACCAAACTACGTCAAGTTCTCTGTCCCCCGCTCTTCACTTCCATGTTCTTCGGCAAAATCATACTAAGTTGATTATTGCATGTCTCACCCGCAAGCTGGAATGTAAGCTCCACAACAGCAGGACTGTGTCTGACTTGTCTCTCACAACCTAACCCAGAACAGCCCTCAACAAATGTGTAGATTATATTCATTCATAAGTCAGAACACCCAAGTTACAAGGCCAGCCCACAACACACTGGTCGTGAAATTACTTCCTTCTTTCATAACAATAAAGAGCTCATCTCCTCCACATTCTCTGAGTTCCCTTGAAAATCTGACAATACATGAGTCTACAATTCTACCATTCCAAACTTCTCTCTCACAACTCTTCTATATAGCCTGCCACCAGCAAAATACTCCTTTCTGGTCTCCATACTTTGTTTGCATCCTTCTTTCCATCTGGAATTTTTTTCCCAGCTGCACACATCCAAATCCTACTTAGTCTCCAATGCTCAAATAGAATGTCACCTCCTCCTCAAAGCTTTCCTTTCATTCTCCAGCTAGTCACAACCTCTCTACCCCTAAATTCCCCCAGGTTCTCACATGCTTCATTCAGGTCTCAGATCAAATACACTTTAAATGAGAGGCTTCTCCTAAAATTACCCACCAGTTATCATTCTCTATCAGACCATCTGTTTTCCTTTCTTGAAAGCATTCAGTATTACCTGAAACCATCTTGTTAATTTCTTTCGGTTACATTTTTACTGGTAATTCCCTGTCTCCCAACTAGAATGTCAAGATTCATGAACGCAGGGACCCTGTCTCTCTTTTTATTCATATTTCCTCACTCCACCACATCTGAGATCAAAAGTATTTGGTAAATATCTGTCCAAGGCAGACAATTAGGGTTATTTGTGTATATACCCTTCTTTTGCTATACTCGAAATTCCTGGTGGACTAGGCCAAAGTCTAGCTAATCTATTTGTGCATATAATCTGGAAATCCTTGCACAACGAAAGCAAACAATAGATAACCACTAATTAATTAATGAGTGATCTCTCCAAGAGGTACTGCCCTGAACCAGGCCAACTCAGAACTCGGTATTCCCCAGAAATCAGGGCAAACAGGAACCACCTCCTATGCCCTCTCCACGACAAACCTGGTCCAATCTGCGGCCTCAGGAGAGCTTCAAAAGGGCTAGTGCCCTCACTTTCCTTAAGCCAACAACCATTGATTCTTCTATCTCTAATATCTCACTATCTTACTCTTTCTTTTCTATCACCAGCCAACAAATCACTGCCAACACCCTGTTCTTTTCAGACTACCCCATATATCCAATCAGCAGGGGAACTCAGGAGGCCTTGGGGAACAAGTGAACGTTAAAACGAAGTGTTTAAGTAAGACTGGCTCTCTTTTTCACGTTTTCTTTCATACTTCGTTTATCCACAAGAGGCCCAGTTTCAGAGACTGGCTTCGATTCACTTTGGGACCCTAGGCTTTCTTCCCTTGTAGCCAGCTGCACCTAAACCCCTTTGGGGTGCCCCATCCCTTGCCTCGAACCTTTTCATCTTCCAGTGCACGAAAATCCCAGGCCACAGACGAAGATCTCCCCGTAAGCAAACGGTCCTCAAACAGCGTGGGGCCCCACCTCTCCACTTTCTGTCTGGCATCCACCTCTGGTCTGAAGCTGTCTCGAGCACCCCTTAACCCCAACCTCTGGCTGGGTCCGACCTTCCAACACCACCTTGCACTCACCTGAAGCGGCCCCCGCAGTGCTGGCACTGCTCGCCCACCCAGCCGGTGGGGCAGACGCACTGGCCGGTGCCAGGGTTGCAGCGGCCGCCGTTGACACAGGGCCGGTCACACTCCTTGGCCTCGGCTGCGGCTGAGCCCGATACTACCGCCGCTGCTGCCGCGGCCTCGGCAGCCCAGGGAAGCAGCAGCAAAGGAGGGAGCAGCAACAGCAGCAGCTGCGGGAGGCGCAGCCCGGCCCCCAGTCCTGGCCTCCCAGCCTCGGGGACGTCCCAGTCCCGGAGCCGCTCGCCGTTCGTGCCCGAGGGCCCTGTCGTCGTTGCTGTCCTCCCCCTCAGCTTCGCCTCAGTCGCTGCCGCCGCCCCCGCCGCCACCATCTTCCCGGGGCTGAGACCGAGCCCCACGAACACATACACACACGGCACAGCCGGCTCCTCTTCGCCTGGCCGTGCGAGGCGGGGCCGGGCAGACGGTGGCTCGGGCGGTCAATCCTCAGGGCGGAGCCAGAGCTGCGCGGCGGGCGGGGCCGCAGCGTGCGAGCGTGCGTGGCGGCGGGGGCGGGCTGCTGGCGTTCTGCACCCGAAGTCCGCAGGTCGGATGGGTGTCTGATGCTGCGTCTGGGCTTCCGAGAGCCGCCCCCTTCCCCGTCTACTCCGCCCCCCCCCCCAGCCGGGGTTCCCGGTACCGGGGCCCCCTGGCGGACTAGTGTTTGCTCTTCTTCGCCTAGCAAGGCGGTGACAGGGTAGCAGTCCTGAAGCGCACTCTTTCCGGTGGCTGCCTGGGAGCCGAGCGCTCTGCTAGCTTAGCGGGTCGTGTCGAGCGCTCCCCTCCGGCAAACGCTGGCGCCTGTCACCGCTCTGCCCCAAGTTTAGCAGCCGGGTGAAAAGAGCCAAGGAGGCTGCGTCGTGGTGTGGTGCTAGGCACTGCATTCCAGCCTCTACTTTCTTCTGTAAAATAGGGATAACGAGATAACGCAAATGTTAAGAACCTAGCGCTTAAACTGCTCAGTAAATGCTTAATAGGCTAATGAATACACGCCCAGGCCAACCTCCCTTGATTCAGGAGCAGATCAGAGCCCCCACCTCCCGCACACGTTTAATTCTGTGGAGGAAGTTTGGGGTTACCTTGTTCCCCACTATTTGCCCTCCAGTCATCTCTGAATATGGGGCAAGGTAAAATTAGGGATAAAATCACCCTCAGCCCTCCCAAATCTGCCTGTAGAGCCCTTTTTGCTAGGTAGTTTATTATTTAGGTGGTCCCCAATAAAACACGCTTATAACCTTGTGTGGTCCTTGACCCTGGATCTGGACTGGACCTATGTCTCGACTTAACCAACAGAAGAACGTGGCAGAAGTGAGAATGTGCCAGTTCCAGATCTGAGCTTTAGGAGTACTTGGCAATCTTGATTCTGAGTTGTTGTTAATCCTGTGCTGATCCCCCACTTCCATCTGGCTGTGGCGAGACCACATACAGAGATGACACTGAGGAAAAGTAGGGGCCCAATTATCACCAACAACTTAGGTCAGACACAGGAACCTGGTGGACCCATCCCAGCTGAGGGACCAGTCATTGAGGGAAGAAGACAATTAAGTTGTTCCAACCAGCTGGACTGTTCCTCATAACCTAGAACAGAGACAAGTCTTTCCCCCTGTGCCTTACCCAAAATCCTAAGAAATGGTAAAATGGCAGCTGTTTTCAAGCCACTGTGTCTTAGAGAGGTTTGTTTCTCAGCAATAGATAACTAGCGTACTGTCTGGCATAAGCTTTGTGCTGTGAAAATATTCATGGAGCTTCCAGTCAAGATGGTGGCATAGGCAGACATGGCTTGCCTCTTCGCCAACCATATCAAAATTACAACTAAAACATAGAATAACCATCACTCAGAACCATCAAGAATCAAGTGAATAGAAAGTCTAACAACGATGGAATTAGAGACACTACATCCATCCAGACTGGCAGGAGGAGTGCAGACATGGAACAGGCTGGTCCCTCAAACACATGTGGTAGATAAAAATGTGGGAGGGATATCTCAAGAGTGAGGAATCCCAGGCCCAGACCAGGCCCCCCCAGCCCATCCTGGAACCCTTCCAGTGCCTAGAAGTTAAGTCCCCACAACTTCTGGATGCAAAAATCAGCAAGGATTGAGTCAGTGGAAGAAACTTCTAGAGCCCTAAGAAATTCCTCTTAATGATCCCACACACATAGACTCATCTACTCAGATTTACTCCCTGTGAACTCCGGCACCGGGGTAGCAGCTTGAAAGGCATGAATGACATACAGGAAGAAATTAACTTGTCTGGCATCAAGGCAAGCAAAGGCCATGGTCCCTTTTCTAAACCCTCTCCCAGCGGAGTTGGCAAGCTGGTGCCATATCTCAGACTCCATCAACCTGGCTAACACTGTTTGACCTGCCTTGGAGATCCCCAGAGATTCCATCCCACCCAACTTATGGGCCCACCCAAGCTGCTTTTCCATATGAATGACTGGTCTTGACTCATACAGCAAAACTTCCTAAATCCTCTCAAAAAAGTAAGAGCTGGCTTCAGTGAGCCTTACACACTATACTAGCAGCAGCCAGCCTAAATTCACAAATCTCTAAACCCAATGTAAGTAGCAGCCATCTCAGATTGCTTTATAGCTCAGGCAGATGACCCTGGATAAAACCCAGGTTGAGGCTGAACTTGGCCTGCACCACCCTGGAAACCCCATGGCCAGTGTACCCAATGGACAACTACAGACCATGTTGGATTACCACCACCCCACCCCTGCATAGCCATTCCTCCACAGAAGGCGGAGGTTGGTGGTCAGTGGTCTGGGAGGAACAACTGGGGAGCAAAACAGACTGCAACAGCCAATCCTTACAGCTGACTGGCCTGGAAATCCCTTCCATTGATCTGCCCACAGCAACCAAGTCTCCACCACAAGAGGAGGATGTACTCAGCCCACAGAATGGATGCATCTCAAGCAACTAGCTTGGGTGGTAGGGGAGGCTGTGCCACTGGACCCTAGAGAGCATTTACTGCATTAGGCCATACTAACAAGACACGGAATCCAGGAGCTCTACCTAGTATATAGAAATAAACACAGGGAAGCTGCAGAAACGAGGAGACAAAGAAACATAGACCAAATGAAAGAACAGATCAAAACTCTAGAAAAAGAGCTAAAGGAAATGGAGAAAAGCAGTCTATAGGAGGCAGAGTTCAAAACACTGGTTATAAAGATGCTCAAGGAACTTAGTGAGTACCTCAATAGCATAAAAAAGAAATGATACACTAATTAAAATAAAGAACAATTTACAGGGAAACAACAGTAGAGTGGATGAAGCTGAGAATCAAATCAATGATATTCAACATAAGCAAGCAAAAAAAACAACCAATCATAACAATAAGAAGAAAAAAGAATCCAAAAAATGGCAATAGTATAACCAGCCTCTGGGACAACTTTAAGAGTTCCACAATTCACATCATTGGGGTACCAGAAGGAGAAGAGAAAGAGCAAGAAATGGGAAATCTGTTTGAAAATATAATGAAGGAAAACTTCCCTAATTTGGTGAAGGAAATAGACATCCAAGTCTAGGAAGCACAGAGAGTCACAAACGAGATGGATGCAAAGAGGCCCACTCCAAGACATATCATAATTAAAGATTAAAGATAAAGAGAGAATCTTAAAAGCAGTGAGAAAGGCAGTTAGTTACCTACAGAGGAGTTCCCATAAGACTGTAAGCTGATTTCTCAAAAGAAACTTTGCTGGCTAGAAGGGACTGGCAAAAAGTATTCAAAGTGATGAAAAGCGGAGATCTATAACCTAGATTACTCTATCCAACAAAGCTATCACTTAGAATGGAAGGGCAGATAAAGTGCTTCCCAGACAAGAAAAAACTAAAAAAATTCATCATCACTAAGACATTATTAGATGAAATGTTAAAGGGACTTATTTAAGAAGAAGATCAAAAATATGAATAATAAAATGACAAAAGATACAAATCTGTCAACAATTGAATCTAAAAAACAAAGTAAGGAAACAAGAACAGAGACAGAATCATGGATACAGAGAGTGTCTTGATGGTTGCCACATGGGAGTGGGGTGCGGGGGAATGGATGAAGAGGTGAGAGAATCAAGAAATACAAATACGTAGATACAGAATGGCCATGGGGATATAAAGCATGGTATAGGAAATGGAGTAGCCAAAGAACTTATACATATGACCCATGGACATCAGCAATGGCGGAAGGATTCCCTGGGGAGTGTGGGATGCTGGGTAGAGGGAAGGCAAAGTGGGAAAAAATCAGAACAAGTATAAAAGCATAATCAATAAAATATAAAAAAATAAACAGTAGAAATATTCTTATGACAACTATCTCAGAGTCTCAGCATCTTATAGTCCCTTGGAAACAAAGAAAGCCCTTTACATACCTGTGGGGCTTCTCAGCATTACCTTAGAGCACAGAATTCTAAGATTCTAGGATAAACCCTTACACCACAGGTGGCAAACACAAGTCCCGCGGGCCAAATCTGACTCTCCACCTTGTTTTATCCAGCCCAGCACCTTGTTTCTACCTGGTGGCAGCGCTGAGCTCCTTACCCCTAGTTAAGGAGTAGTTACATTTATACAGTCCTAAAATTACATTCGGCCCTTTCAAGGCAACTGCAAGGCTGATGTGGCCCCAGTGAAAATGAGTCTGACACCCCTGTCTTACACTCATACCCAAGTCTAACCTTCCTCTCTCTGCATCCCCTTTAAGCCTGGTAAATCTGAACTGCAGTACAGCCTCACCAGCAGCTCTCCACCCATAAATCTCTTCTATTTCTACCCGAAACCTATTGTTTCCCTTAGGCCCTACCACTGGCATTCTGGTTTGCAGGTTGTTTTTTCTGCAGTGTCTTACATGGGGATGTATAAGACCAGGTAGGAAAATAGACCTGGCCCTACCCTCTGGCAAGCCCCCAGTGAAATGGGAGAGGCTGACATGGAGTCATGCCCTGGCTTTAGGAGGCACCGCTTCTCCTACCCCTGTAGTCTAGAAGTGGAATCAGGCTTTGCCTTCACTCCCCACAGAAAAACTGAACCCAGGCTGTGAAGTTTCACGTTCTTTACCAAACACTCGTGGATAACAGGAAAGAGTTTGTACCCACAGAAGACCAACACAGCTACCCTAGAACCTTGATGCAGCAAACATCCGCTTGTTCTCTTTCCTTGGCCCTTGAAACATGTTCAAATTATATTATCTTTAAAAAAAACAAAAACAAAATCTAGTCCTGACTGATGTGGCTTAGTTAGTTGGGCATTGTTCCACAAACGAAAGGTTGCCAGTTCAATTCCCAGTCAGGGCACATGGCTGGGTTGTGGGCAAGATCCCCAGTAGGGGGTACACAAGAGACAACCACATATTGGTGTTTCTCTCCCTCTCTCCCTTCCCCTCTCTAAAAATAAATAAATAAAATATTTTATTTTTTAATAGAAAATAACAAATGGCAAGAATATGGAGAAACTGGAACCATTAT